ACACTAACTTTTTTGTAGTGAAGGTCCCAACAGATGCTAGAAGCTTAAGTTTCTTCACCGATCTCTCCTTCATATCCTTCATTGCTTCGAACTTCGGTACGACTCTGCGAGAAAACTTGGAGCTTTGACAAAAACCTTATCAAGATTGACTGACAAAGGATGAGATTATATAAGAGAAAAACGAAATGAGTACTCAAGTGAACAAAATAAAGCTACTTTGTGGGTTAGTTTTCAAAAGTCCCCTCCTTTGATGGGTCATTGTAGTAATAAAGTAGCTCAATTAGGGAGACAACGAACATGGGATTTAATTTACCCAACTTTTAGCCCAAGTTTGTCCAAATACAAAGCATGTAATTTAACATGTTGCCATAATGAAGCTATGAAAAGCTAATCTTTTGCTGGTAAGAGTCATTAATGATTTAGGTTTGGTTGAATAATGATGCTAGTAATTTCTCTAGATTTGTGTTCTTTAATAATGGATTTTTTTCATAAATGGTCCAAATGAGAACAAGATTGAGAATTTTCACAAATGTTTTTTTGATAAACAATTTTGGTAAAGAGAAATGGTAATTTTTTTTTTTATACAAAGCAATTGGAGTGATTCAATGCTATATCCTGCCGAGCAAATCGGACTAAATGTCGGCCACGGATGATCCAAATCCAATATCAAATGAGAATTTGATGCATGTTAACTGCTTCTTGTGCCCATCAAGCATCTTCATTTTTAGTGAGTATGAACCCTATGATAAATAAAATGATTAGATTGTTCCTTAAATGCAAAAACCCAAAAACAAATTCTGATACGACAAATATATAACTAATGATCATAAACAATCTCAACTTAATGAATTCGATTAGACTAGGCCATTTGTTCTAATTGCTATACTATAACATCAAATTCAAATGAGCCTAATGAATCAGCATGTCATAATATCCACAATGCTTCAAATTAATCAACCGAAAAAGCGTAGATTGAAGCAGGAAAAAAAAACACTCAGTAAAACTTACAGGAGGAGTATATCCGGGTAGAATTTGCGAGTGCTCTACCAAGAAATCTCCAATTGCAACGGGACATTTAGTCTCATCGCAAAGATCATGTGTCTCAGAATGAATATGCCATCCAAAGTATGAAACTTCGATCACCAACTTCCCGCTCGAGATGGAATTGTCTTCATATAAACGAATCAAACACAAGTTAAGAGTCAAAGCCATCAAAACAAAGAAACTCCATTTAAAATTTGAAGAAC